CACCAAATGGATGTGAAAACTGCTTTTTTGAATGGAGATTTGGAAGAAGAAATCTATATGGAGCAACCAGAGGGATTTGTTGCCCCAGGGCAAGGGAACAAGGTCTGTAAACTTGTTAAGTCTTTGTATGGCTTAAAGCAGGCTCCAAAGCAATGGCATCAAAAGTTTGATCAAGCCATGTTGCAAAGAGGTTTTAAGATAAATGAGTGTGATAAGTGTGTCTATGTGAAAAACACCTCTCATGGTTATGTCATCTTATGTTTATATGTTGATGATATGCTTATCATTGGCAGTGATGACAAAATGATAAGGTCCACGAAGGATATGTTGAAATCTAAATTCGACATGAAAGACATGGGTTTAGCGGATGTGATTCTTGGAGTCAAGATCACGAGAACTCAAAATGGCTTGGTGTTGAGTTAAACCCATTACGTGGACAAGATTCTTGAGAAGTTTAATAAGGAAGACACTAGTATAGCTAGAACTCCGATTAATACTAGTCAACATCTATCTAAAAATATAGGGGATAGTGTCGCACATGTGGAATACTCAAGAATCATTGGTAGTCTGATGTATCTAATGAGTTGTACTAGACCTGACTTAGCGTATGTTGTGAGGAGGCTAATTAGGTATACTAGTAATCCAGTTCTGAACACTCGAAGAGTGTTACTAGATTATTGAGGTACTTAAGATACACACGTGAGTATGGACTACATTATACCAGACATCCAGCTGTGATTGAAAGATACAGCGATGCGAATTGGATATCTGATATAAAAGATTCCAGATCTACAAGTGGATATGTGATATGTGTTGAGAATTTAACACATAACGCGCTCTTTTTAGGACTTTTTAGTTACAATAATTTATTTTCATTCCCAAATTGAGTCTTTTTCATTTATTTCTTTATACTTTTGTTATTATGAAGCTAAATGTTGTGGTTGACTTGATGGCATGCAAAATTGAAGCTAATTAGGAGTTTTTGTGAAAACAGCAAATGCTACAGCATTGGTGCAGCGTTGGCCTGGGTCTTGCACGACTTTTTGGAGGGCTTAATGAACAAGACGTTGGTTTTTTGGAGGTGGAGTACAGCTGTAAATGGGCTGGATTTTTAGTAGAAAATCAGATGTACTCTCTAGTTAAGCTTGTGTACTCTCTAGTTTGCTTTATGTACTTTGTAGTTGAACTTTAATTTTGTATTGTACTTTTTAGTTAAAGCTTTAGTTGTATTGTAACTAGTGTGGTTAACTTAGCCTCCAAGATTAGTTCTTTTGTCTTTTAGTGCCCATTTTGGGTATAAAAAGGAGGCTAGAGTTACCATTTTACATACACAATTAATCCATAATACTTTGGATTCTCTCTTTTCTCCCAACTTTTCTCCCAACTTCTCTTCCTTTTCCTTTAAGTCTTCTTCAAGTTCTTCAAGTTCATCTTCATCTTTTTATTTATTTACTTTCTTGTCTTTTATTTTCCGCTATTTATATTMTCATCTTTACATTTCCGTCATTTACATTACGCTATTTACATTCCGTCATTTATTTTACGCTATTTACATTCTCGTCATTTACATTCCCGTCATTTACTTTATT